GTCTCTAGGATCTTCCTAGTGCTCACTCCACTTTGCTGCAATTGATGCCCAAACTGTGCCCCCTTTTCCAGAAAACAACCCCGAGATTCTTCAGCCTTGTGTGACTTGTCACCTTCTGTGCCAGCCATAACAGGATAGCAGAGGACACACAAGTTCCACCCAACATCTACTCCTGCTACTGGCACAAATAGGGCTGAAAAGTCCAAATCACTCCATGATCACCCTGAGAAGCTCCTCAGGGCAGCCTAAGTCCAGAGAACAAGACTGGAATGGCAGTAATGACTCTCCTTCACCATAAGCAATCTCTTCTGTAATCTCTTTTGCCAAGCACTGTAACAATCACCACTGAATTTATAGCTTAATCAGCACCAAACCTTATTGTGGACTCCAGAAGCTTTACTCATTCCATGCTAAACATCCAAAAGAAGAAAGAATTAAGGATATGCATCACATGACCACAAGTAAGAAAGTAACCTCACCACAGTGTGGTCAAGCAATGTTGTAATGCAGCATTGCTAAGATCATACCAAATAATACAGAGCAAGCAGAGGGTAAATCCTGCTATCCATCAAGTGGAAAGGAAAAAACCCAACTCTAAAAGTCAAGGTAGGTCATTCTGCTGCACAATAACAGAGGTCACTGTCACTTCACACACAGCAGAAACCCTCAAGTGCTGAGACAGCATTGCACTTATTGACTTCTACTTTGTTTCAAATTAACATGAGTAATTTTATTCACAGAGATGGATAAAAAAGGAAAATCCAAGTTCAGAGTGTCCAGGGAACAGGATGGTATTAGAGATTCATTGCTATCTTTAGAAGTCTTTGCCAAAAGCTTATGGAAACTTTAGGAAAATTATACTGAGAAATTACCTAGTTATGACTCCAGAAGACACAAAACAATTTAAAACTCACTTGAAACACCAAAAGACTGCAGTTAATCAGTCATTCAGGAAAATTTACTATCATGTCTTTCAACAGCACCAGTTTCAACTCCCATTTCTACCAAATCAGTTTCTAGATGCTCTACCAGAGAAAGGAACTACAAAATACAACACAAGCAACTAACCTGGGATTACAGACAGACCACGAAAAGAGCTTTGAAATCTGAAATGAAATTTAGCAGGGGATAACTCAGGGAATAATGCTGGTTTACAACACTGCCAGGAGCAGTTCCATTCCTGGAAGCAATAAGCAACTGTGTCCCAAAGAACCAATGCCTGCTGAAGCCTCACATGTCAAACGGTAACAGTGGCAGGAGCAGAACAGGTTCTACAGTCCTGAAGGCAACTGTGGCTTTAAAAAGTTGAGGAAGCAGCTTTATTAATTTCATGTGACAATAAATCAGCTTTGTAAAGCATTAAATAGGCTGCTGTGAAATCCTTTGGTCAAATAACAGTTCCCAAGGAGGCCCAAGTGCACGGTTAATTTTGAGCTCTGTGTGTGGGGGATTCTCCAGCCCATCCAGTGCTGTGTCTGCAAACACAAACCCACCAAACCCCACCAGGCTCTGGGGCTGAGCCCTTCACACCTGTGCAGGCTCAGTCAGTGACTCTGCACCTGATCCCAAGGCCTGCAACACTCAGGGTCTGAGGTGTAACCCAGGCTG